CTGCCCTGGATCAGTTATTTTCCTCTGGTTCACACCTATAGATTAAGTTTTGTACCTCTTGATGTAAGTTCCTTGTCTCTGCTTCAACTATTTGGACCTGACTTTAACGTGGGGCAGGACAGGCTGAAATGATGTTGCTCTTTGGACTGGACAGGGTTGCTGCACTATCATGATCCTGTGGTGCTCTATAGGGAGCAGACAGTGTGCCAGATCCAGGGCAGGGAAGAAAGAGGGGGGCCAGACTTTACCTTGGCATCCAGGAGTTGAGGACAGTCAGATCACACAACTGATCAAGACAGTGTGGTCTGTGCTTATGTTTTGTAGCCTATTGCAGTGGTTTATTTAAGGGATCCCATTTTACATCAAGCAGCCTTGGATTAGCCAGGCAAATGCTGCAGGAATTTCCTGAAGAGCTGCTAGCTCCCTGGAATCCCTGAGGGTGACATCTTGCAGTTGTCTGGCTGTGCTGTGAAGAACTCACAGCCCCTTAAACTGAAGCTGTGCAAGTTAATGAGACTTTGACTACATCCTCCTGCAAGGCAAGTCTGGGTGCCCAAACCTCTGCCTTTCCAAGGGATCTCCACACACTGTGCAGCAGTTGTCTCATGGCAGCTGGATCTATCTGTAATAAACCCTCTGTCCTCCTCTAAGCCAAAAGAACTCTCTTTTCAGCATCCCTGACTCTGCAGGTGACAACACATCATGCTGGAGCTGTGCCTTTTGTCCAATGGTGCCTTAGCTGTTGGGAGAACAAGGAATTATGCTCAGATTTTTGCTTTATTCACTTCTCACATGGATTTGCAAATGGGCTAAGCTCATGGAGGGAACACAATTGTTTTCCCACTACCTGGTTAACAGAGCAGGTATTAAAAAGCACCAGAGGTGCTTCCTTGGGTCCTGAAGGCTGAAAATCTGCAGTGTGAGCCAGGGAGATAGGAAAGGAAGGTCTGTACCTTCCTTCCTCACTTGTTTATCTGAGCCTTCCCTGCAATGCTCCTTGAATAGCTCTGTGGCAGACCAAAGGGCCAGGCAGCTGCAAAGGATTTGTAATCAGGTGAACTGAGAAGGTTGAGGAGCATCAAACAACTCCACCTGGGGCTGGAAAACCCATGTGCTGACCTGGTGTGCTGTCTGCTCTCTCCCCAGGATTGTCCCCAGCTGCTGCAGGCGGAGAAGCTCCTGGTGCCTGTGGAGGTGATTAAGCCAATCACACTTAAGGCCAAGAACCTGCCCCAGCCACAGTCAGGCCAGAGAGGCTACGAGTGCATCTTGAACATCCAGGGCAACGAGCAGAGGGTGCCTGCCTTGAGGTTCAACAGCTCCAGCGTGCAGTGCCAGAACACTTCGGTGAGCAGGACCTGGGAGTTTGGGAGAGCTGTAGGGGCCAGGGGGGACCAGGAGTGCTCACATCCCTGTCCCACTGGGATCTGGGGCTGTCTCACAGCTCCTTCTGTGTTATTGGGGGTAGTGGGATGCTTTAGTCTGGAGAAAAGAAGGATCCAGGGAGACCTTATTGCTCTTTATAACTTGAAAGGAGGTTGTGGTGAGGTGGGAATTGGTCTCTTCTCTCAGGTGACAAGGGGAAATGGCCTGGAGTTGTGCCAGGGGAGGTTCAGGTTGGATATTAGGCAAAATCTTTTCTCTGAAAGAGTGATTAAGCATTGGAACAGACTGCCCAGGGCAGTGGTAGAGTCACCATCCTTGGAGGTGTTCAAAAGATGTGTAGACTTTGTGATATGGTTTAGTGGTTGTGGTGGGATTCAGTCAAAGGTTGGACTTGATGATCTTGGAGGTGTTTTCCAGCCTTAATGAGTCTATGATTCCAACTACAGTCCAGGGAGTCTGGTTGGTAGCTTGAAAATAGTAGCCCTGTTGCTCTTTAGCCTGCCTTGTGTCACTACAGAGTAGCTGCTTCTGCCCCTGGATTCCAACATTTGGCAGTGCCAGGGCACCTTAGGCATGACCCATAGGGATTGTTATCAGCTTAACCTGCCCATATCCTCACAGTGCCACAAAAAGGGTTTCCAAAGGGACAGGTGTTCATGTAAACACTGAGAGTTAAGATTATTTTGGGGGGGAGGGGTTGGTGATGGGACACATAAACCCAATATAAACAGTCTGACCTGTGCCTGCATGTAAAGGGTCAAAAGAAGGATCATGGAATCCCAGACTGGTTTGGGTTGAAGGGACCTGAAAGCTCACCTAGTTCCAACCCCCTGCCATGGGCAGGGACACCTCCCACTAGCCCAAGTTTCTCCAAGCTCCATCCAACCTGACTTTAGGTTGTGTCAAACCTTCCTCCAGCCACTGACTCACCACATGTCCTTTGATTAGTCTCTTTGCCTCTGTCCGTCTCCTCCTCCCCCTCTGCAGTGCAGGACGTGTGACCTCCCTCCCAGGGACCCTGTATGAGTCACGACAGTGCTGCCACCACAACACAAACACCATAATCTGCACACATACAGTGGTTGTCTCTGCTTCTCCAGAGGTGTCTTTAAGATAAGCATTTGAGACGTTTTCACTGCTGCAACTTTGAGATGATTTATTAGTCAAAGACCTAATTGCAGGCTTTGGCCACTTCACTGCAGCTCTGCCACTCCAGGCTGGGCAGTGCTTGTCACAACACACTGTGCTGCATTAAGCACTGAGCTGAAGATGAGAGGCAGTTCACACATTTTACGATCTGTTGCAAACAAGCAACTTCCCAACTAGGGCTCTTTTATTTGTTTCTTTGTCCCCCTGTCTCCCTTCTCCTGCTTTTCATTACCGGTTAATGACCTGTGAGCACTCAGGTTTCCCAGAAAGGGAAGGACCGAGGAGTTAAGAAGGTATTACACTTTTTAAAGGAGTCTTTCCTTGGACAAGGGTGAAAGCTAAAGGGATATTACATGATTAGGGATCTGTCCAAAGAGTCTTAGCAGGGAAGAGAGACCTTTAAGCATCCCAAGATGCTTAAGAGTCCCCAAGTCTCTGGCATTAGCATGAATTATCTCAGGATGATTTTAGGCAGAGTTGGGCTGAGCTGGGGATTAGCTCCAGTTGCTTTCAGCACCTGACTTTATGCTACCCAAGGCCTGGTTTGGAGAGGCAACGCTTGCTATTCCCATACTCCAATAAGTTGCCACTGCCTAGGACCAGAGAAGTGGGGTTTGCAGAGTCCTCAGATGAATTTCCTTATGCTGTGATAGCACCGATTTGATTTTAATGCTTGTTTTCCTAAGTCAGAACACTCAGAGCTACACCAGAGCTGAGAGGGTGACAGGGCTGAGCCTCAGGCTAATGCCACGACCTCCCTGGAGTCTGCAAGGCTCTTGTCCCATGTTTGGTGGTGGCTCATGTGGATCTCTCTCTTCTCCAAGGAGAGAGGCTCATTTGGGGATGGAATCAACTGTTTTCTATCCTG